CGCCCCTTGTAGTATAATTTATTACTTGAAAATATTTATTTATTTTTTTTTTTTTATTCTCATTATTATTCTTATTATACATAGGTACGATTTTTTTCGTTGGTATTATTGTGGTTAACTAGTCAGGTATTTTTAAACCTTTTTAATATACCTACCTATTATTGATAACAGTGAAATCGTTTCTCTCTACTTCGGGAAACATAGGTACTGTAAATTGTATAGCCTTATCGAAACCCCGTCCCCCCACACACACACACATGCATACACACATACATACACATATACAAACACACATACACATACATACACACACACTCGGCCAAATATAATTTTTTAACTAGTGGCATTAGATTATCAAAATTAAAAAAATAAAAGCACGGTGCTGTGAAACGTTTCACTTTATAAATATTACATACTTACCTATACATTATGTACGTTTTTTTTTAAGTCTAACAAGGTGAGCGTATTATATTATCGATAAGCAAACACGCATTATTAATTTACGTTGCTTATCGTCTATACTCGGGCCTATAAACCGAACTTTTCTATAATAACAAGTACTTGTCTCGTTTTTCGAATCATATACTCTTATACATTGTTAATGAACGTTCTTTGTATTAATAACTTCAAATTTTGTAGGCGATATTTCTTCACGTTAAATATTCCTCTTGTGTAGTCTGTAATATATAGGTACCTATATTTAATATAAAAAAATAAAAAAAAAATATTTTATTTTTAATTTAGCTACTTGGAAAATTGTATCGCGTTGTTGATATAATAATATTATAGTCGAATAATAATATTTTTACCTTAGTAATTTTATATAAAAAAATGATAATAACACGCAAATAATTAACTACATTATATTATTTTTTTTAGTGGTTATACAGTTGAATCGATTGGTGCTATGATAATAATCATTAATTATAACGATATTAATAATACTTTATGTTAATAATAAATACGCTATGGTATATACACGAAACGCGTTGTTTAATATACTGTATAATTTAAAAAAAACAAAACAAAACACATTATTAGAGTAAGCTTTATAATAATTATGTATCTTTTTTTTTTTTTAAAAATGTATAAGTTTGAACATTTTCAAAATCACATTTTATAAAAATATAATATCATATGTTATCGCATTGTTAACTCACACATAAAACTTGTCTTCTTTTTTTTTTTCTCAATCTAATCATGTGACCACCTGTAGGTAATATTTTTGTTATTTTGATTACTATTAATACGGTTAAGAGTTTGCGATTTGTTCTTTACTACATATAGACCGATAGGCTGTAGTAATACAATCATAACTAACTCGTACTTCCAGTAAGTAAGACCAATTATGGTTTTGGAAAAATGATTTGAATTCATATAGGTACACATCTTTCATGTTTGTAAGGAAAATAGTTTCATTTTTTGGCTCTATTGTGTACTGTTTTTTTTTTTACTTGTCTGTTAACTATTTATTTCTAGAAGAAGTCAAATGAACAAATTAATGTGTAAATAAATAAATCTTGCGCCAATCAAAAAAATGACAAGAACACTTTTCTATGTAGCTTTTGAATCTAGATGGTGCGTGAGGATTAAGGAAGTTATTTTTCGATTTTCCAAACAGTTTTCATAATAATTGAGAAAACCAGAAATATAATGTATAAATGATTTCATTATTTTATATTTTTTCGATTTTGTTTCTCTATCAGAAATCTTACATCGATATTTAAGTGTACCGTATTTTCTGAAAACGAAATATGTTGGCTGGTTGGTGTACGATAGTTGTTTTTTTTTTTTTTACAATTTTCTAAATACTCGAGAAAAAAACGCAAAGGATACTGGAAAATTTACGGCATATAATGGTTTTATTATTTTGAACTTTGTTTCGGTTAATAAAATGTATGAGGCCCACACTGTCGTCTGGAACAAATTGTTTTCAATCACGGACATAAAGGTTCAAACTACAGATGTAAGTTTGGTAAATTTTTACCAATTATTTCTTTACAGGTAAATATAATTTACCGAAAAAATTAGTATGTGACACATTAAATTAAACGTCTTAACGAGGGGAATATCCATAACATATCAATAGAATAGAATAGTTGATATTACAAAGCGTTCAACATTTCCACAACTACTGATTGTGTATCACATAACATATCATACCATCAATCATTATCGCTATTGATAGTGTGGTGGCGTGGAGTGTGGAGCTCGTATATACCGCGCAACAACTCGCGCAAAGTCCTGTGTGATCAGACGGAACCTGATTCAACAATGTGGACACTTTTCTGAAAGGAAATTTTCTCAATGTGGTACTTTCAAGACGTGGTTTTTCGAATTTCTCATCAAATGTGAAAAACCGAAAAAAACGAGAAAATGTACGAAATATATTATTATAAAATATAACGATTTTTTTTTTCTATGAAAAACTTTTCTAACAACAATTTTGCTCCAAGTAATAACACTTTTACTAAAAAGAAAATCTACTGGGATGATATTTTATGGTGGAAGTTTTTCGATTTTCCATAGTTTTCCCAGCAAATATGAAAAATCGGGGAAAAAACGTAGGAATCTGAGAGAAACGTAGAAAAAACGCCAGAATTGGTACATTAAACACATTCTATTAAAGAAAATAAAATATAATGCCTATTTCAATATTTTAACATAATAAGACATATATATTTTTTATAGAGCATCACTATCAACAGGACTCCGCTAGGATTCATTTTATCGCTTATAGATATATATTAGTTACCTATAACAGTGTAGGCTGCACCGTCCCTATTATCCTATAAAGCCATGAAGTAGAGTAAGGCTATTGTGACCATGCTAAAACGAAAAAATAAACAGCAGAAAATAATTTCAGTATAGAATATTATAATACAGTTAAATAAAATAGAAATGAATACGGAATAATTGACATCAACATAAAAAAACTGGGTAAAAAGCGTTCCCAAAAGACGTTCGTAGGTATAACAAGACACATAGTTGAATATTATTATACGACACAATAATATNTAATATTTATATTAATCTAAATTTTTTTTTAAGAAATAATTCCTCGCCAAGTAAATAAATTATTGAAACAAAATACGTTTACTTAAATTCAATATACTTAGCATTTATTCATGATATCACATCTTTATAGTGCTTAAAGATCAAATATTTTTTTTTTTATCTAGTCATTTTTACACGGAGTTTACGAAGGGTTTTTGTTGTGATATCACTAATTTTTTTCATCAATGCAAATGCAAATAATGATAATGATGATGTATTTTTATCTTTTACTTTATCTAAATAATATATCTATAATTGTTTTAGTTTTGTTTTTCTAGAATTATTATATACACGTCTTTGCCACTACGAGCATTTCAATCAAACAATACCTTAAGGCATTTTAACGGCACTAATAAGTCGATTAGTCCATTTTTCAATATGTCCATGAAAGGGAAACAGTAACTTTACCTTGATTTGTTTAGAGCGTTGTCGAGATACCAATTTTGTTGATAAACTTATTTTATAACAATAGTTTTGTTAGTAATGTCTAGTTTTTTTTTTTAGCAAGTACATTTCTTTATATTTAACTCTTTTTTTTTTTTGCAATTTAGTTGACATATTTATAATTAAATAAATGCAAATATTTTTTCTATAAAATAATAAAAACAACTATTTTTATAATAGCTCAGTGTAGACTATTATGTTGGTTATACCAAAGTCACATTTGTTCGCGAATACGCGAACAGAACAAACAATAAGATAACACGCTAAAATAAAATATACCGATGAACGACAACTACAAACGACAGCAGATAACGAAATGAATGCATGTTCATGAACCGCCGACCGCCGACACTCGGCACTAATAATATTTTCTCCCACCTAGGCCTCGAGCTGCATACACGAAATCGAGTGGGGGAACCGGCCGATGCGACGACGACTACGACGACGACAACGGCGGCTAGCATGATTCTGAATTTAATATAAATTTCCATTAAAAATGTCGCACTTTTTCATGTATAACTTAATTTCTAAACGTACGATTTTAAAGATGATTACAAAAGCACGTTCTACACAATATTTCTGATTTTTTGGTGTTTACTAGGAGTTAATGGATGCATTAGAAAATTAGTTATGTTGTACAACAAATTTACCTGTATTTTACACAGTTCATTAAATGGGCAACTCCTGCTTCGATATATTATACACACACCGTTGAAAAGCTATTTTTTTTTTTTTTACTTAGCTCTCGCCACGACCGTAACGGTGGATAAAATAGAAATGAATACGGAATAGTTGACATCAACATAAAAAAACTGGGTAAAAAGCGTTCCCAAAAGTCGTTCGTAGGTATAACAAGACACATAGTTGAATATTATTATACGACACAATAATATTATAGGTACATTATATGTATATTGAACAAATGTTCTTATATATTATACAAGTACGTTCAAGATAAAATGTATAGAAAAATAACTTTTGGCGCCTAAAATGATTTATATTAAGATCCAAACGTTATAATTCCAAACAACGATTTTATAAGTCTTAAATCTCATTAAGTTAGGATATAGGTAAAACATTAAAGTACTATACTTAGTACCATCTCCTTTATTGGTCACATCGTCTAGTCGATCATAAATTCGTAATAATCAATAACAGTGTTCAAAATATTCGTAACATTATTTAAAATCTGAATTTATCTATTTTTGAGACCAGTTAGTAATGCGATTGATACCACTATGTGACGTAGCTCAAAACAAAACGTTTAATAATATTTTCGTAAATGGCTAAAAACGCGATATTCGGGTTTCTATAGTATCCACCTAATATAATATACGATAAAATCGTATAACCAAAACGATTTCAAAACTAAATATATATTTTCTACTTTTGCATCATATTTTTATAAATATTTATGCACACTGGTAGATAAATATACATAAGTTTGAAGTCGAATCATTTGCAACGATAAGAACAAACAAGGACAATTGTCATTTACAATGAGTGCGGCTGAAGTCGGTTTCAGATTTGCCCAGCATTATGACTCTATGTTGAACACCAATCCGCAGGACGCGTTCATAATCTATGACAAGCTCGGCGACTACCGAACCATATATGAAGATGGAACTTTGGCCATTGCCAAAAAGAGGAAAGAATTAGAAAGAATTGTAATAACTTCCGTGACCTCATCGAATATATCCGTCAACTTGTTATATTTGGAAACCGGCGGACATTCTGTGGAACACCTGCTAATTATGGTGATTGGTGAACGGTTCAGATATGTGATTTCCATGGATTGCCGTCCGAACCGGGGAATGCTATACGCCATCGTACGGTCCGTGATGCAATATTTTTCTGTAAACCAACCTACGCAGGTAACTACTTTCAATGTAGCTTACGATATTCAGGAGAATACTGACAATCACAAGATTGAAGCCACAAGTATGACTCAAGCAGATATTTCGAATAATGTCGCTGCATATAATAACCCTTTAAGTAATACCATTAAAATTAACACTTATAATGCTATAAAAAATGTCCAAAATCCAACGAAGAGTATTTTAAAAGGTGTAAAAAAAATTACCGAAATAGCTACCACTTCTCAAATATCCAATGATACCGTTATGAATGACGCAAATTACGAAAAAAGCACCAATATCACTTTGGTTAGTGTTAGGACGAGTGCGTCTGAAATAGGCTTCAGATTTGCACAGATTTATTACGCTACTTTGAGCACAAAACCTGAGAACGCATACTTGTTTTATAACGAGCTTGGCGAATACCGAACGACATACGAAGATGGCACCTCTGTCCTAGCCAAGAACTGGANATCATATTTTTATAAATATTTATGCACACTGGTTGATAAATATACATAAGTTTGAAGTCGAATCGTTCGCAACGATAAGAACAAAAAAGAACAATTGTCATTTACAATGAGTGCGGCTGAAGTCGGTTTCAGATTTGCCCAGCATTATAACTCGATGTTGAGCTTCAATCCGCAGGACGCGTTCATAATCTATGACAAGCTCGGTGACAACCGAACCATATATGAAGATGACACTTCGGCCAATGCCAAAAACAGGAAAGAAATAGAGAGAATTGTGATAACTTCCGCGACCTCATCGAATATATCCGTCCACTTGTTATATTTGGAAACCGGCGGACATTCTGTGGAACACCTGTCAATTATGGTGATTGGTGAACGGTTCAGATATGTGTTTTCCATGGATTGCCGTCCGAACCGGGGAATGCTATACGCCATCGTAAGGTCCGTGATGCAATATTTTTCTGTAAACCAACCTACGCAGGTAACTACTTTCGACGTAGGTTACAATATTGAAGAGAATACTGACTATCACAAGATTGAAGCCATAAGTATGACCCAAGCAGATATTTCGAATAATGTCGTTACATATAATGACCCTTTACGTAATACCATTAAAACTAACACTTATAATGCTATGACAAATGTCAAAAACCAACCGAAGAGTATTTTAAAAAGTGTAACCGAATCTACCGAAATAGCATCCACTTCCCAACTATCCAATAATACCGTTAAAAACGACGCAAATTACGAAAAAACCGCCAATAAGACTTTTGTTAATGTTAAGACGAGAGCGACTGAGGTAGGCATCAGATTTGCACAGAATTATTATGCAAGATTGACTACCAAACCAGAGAACGCTTACCTGTTTTATGACCAGTTCGGCGACTACCGAACGATATACGAAGATGGCACCTCCGTCTTGGTCAAGAATAGGAAAGAAATAAAAAGCGTTCTGTTAAATCATGTGACCATATTTGATATAGCCGTCAAATTGATTACTTCGGAACCCGTTGGTGGATCGTTGGAACACCTGGTAATTACGGTGACAGGTGTACGTTTTAAGCATGTTTTTTTTGCGAATTACCGTACAAACCGGGGACTACGTTATGCTATAGTAAACTCTGTGAAGCAATATTTTTTTGCCAATCAACAAACACAGGTAACATCTATCGATATAGGTGACAATATTGCTGAGAATACTGACTATCCCGAGACGGCAGGAAAGAAACAAATAAAGATTTCGGTTGATATAACCACATACAATAAACCTTCTTGTAATGCCAGAAATATTAACACTTATAATACTAATAAAATCGTCAAAAACCCACCAATGGGTATATTAAAACGCGTAACCAGTTATACCAACATCACCGACACATTCATACCTTCTCGTGATAATTTAAAAATAAACCCTTGTAATGCAATGACAATTGTCAAGAACACACCGAGAGATCCTTTAAAAAGTGTAACCAAATCTACCGAAATAGATACAACTTCCAAACAATCAAAAGATATCGTGAATAATGACGCAAACTACGAAAAAACGGCCAATAAGAATTTAGTTTTTGCTAAGACGAGTGCGACTGATATAGGCTTCAAATTTGCCCAGTTCTATTACGCCATATTGAGCACCAAACCTCAGAACGCGTACTTGTCTTATGACGAGCTTGGTGAATACCGAACGATATCCGAAGATGGCACCTTCGTCCTAGCCAGAAACTGGAATAAAATAAAAAGTGCTCTGTTGAATCCTGCGAACTTATCTAATATTTTTATCAAATCGATTACTCGTCAACCCGTTAGTGGATCGTTGGAAAACCTTCTAATTACGGTGACTGGTGTACGTATTAGGCACGTATTTATCGCGAATAAAAGGCCGAACAGGGGAATTGGTTACGCTATAGGAAAGTCTGTTAAGCAATATTTTCCTGCAAACCAAAAACCACAGGTAACAACTTTTGCTGCAGGTGACAATATTGCTGAGAATGCTAACAATCACGAGCCTTTAGAAAAGAAACAAGCCAACTTTTTAGATGATATCGACACGAACAATGAACTTTCTTGTAATGCCGGTAATATTAACACATATAATGCTATCAAAACTGTCAAAAACACACCGAAGGGTGTTTTAAAACGTGTAACCATATTTACCGAAATAGCCACCGCTCCCAAACATTCTCATTATACCGTGAATAATGGCACAAATCATGAAATAACCGTAATAAGCACACTAGAGGGTATATTAAAACGTAGATCCAAATCTACCGAACTACCTAACACTTCAAAACTATCTCATAATCCCGTGAATAATAACGCAAATAATGAAATAAGCGCCAAATACCCACGGAAGGGTATTTTAAATCATGTATCCAGTTCTACCGAAATCGCCACAACTTCCATATCATCTTGTGATACCGTGAATAATGACGCGAAGCAGGAAATAACCGCAAATAACAATTCGAATGATGTTAAGGCGAGTGCGACTGAGGTAGGCTTCGAATTCGCCCAGCGTTATTACGCTACACTAGAAACCGAAAAGGATCTTGCGTACTTATTTTATGAAGAGCACGGAGACTACCGAACGATATACGAAGATGGCACGTCCGTCCTAGCCAAGAACTGGGAAGAAATAAATAACGTTATATTGAGTCCTTCAACATTTTCTGATATATTCGTCAAATCGATTACTACGGAACCCTGTGGTGGGTCGTTGGACGAACTGCTAATTACGGTAATCGGAATACGGTTCAAGCATCAGTTTTTTGTGGATTATCGTCCAAATCGGGAACAAAATTACGTCATAGTGAAATCCGTGAAGCAATATTTCCCTGAAGACCACCCAACGCAGGATGAAACTTTCGCTGCTAGCGACATTAGAGCTGAGAATACTGGCAATCACGAGCCGGCAGGAAAGAAACAAGAAATCATTTTTGATGATATCGTCACACACGATAAACCTAGTAATTCCATTAATAATAATAAGACTTATAATGCCATTAC